ATTCGAATAAAATAATTTTTATTTTAAAGTTTTTTCTAACACTATATAATTTTAGGAAAAAATGAGCGGTTTACTCAGTAGTATTACCAGCGCATTAGGACAATTGTTTAGAAATCTCTGAGAAGGTCTAAGACCTGTACTACCTGATTTACCTGAACCTTCTGAGCCACCAGAAGAAAAGCCAGAGGTGGAGTCAGATAAGGACAGTGACTATTCGACCGCTTTAACTTACCAAAATATTCAAAATGCAGAAACAAAATGGTATTCAGCAATTTGAAGATTCCTATTTTGGAGAAAGAAAGGTAAGGATGTTAAGTTCTATAATGAGAGTACACAATGGATAAGTTCTGAAAATGACTTCCACGATTTATCATGAGACTGGTTCTTAATCAAAGTAATTTAAATGAAACACTTCAGAAGGCTCATAAACATTATAATAAATAAGTAGACGCAATTTCATGGTGGAGTGATGGTCAAATAGATTTATGAAAAACTGGAACTTATGCTATGACAAGTTTGCATTTCTTTCAGGATGTTGCTAGAGATCCTAGAAAAGCTGAAGACTTATCACAAGAAGAAAATCATTGGATAAAATCGACCTACATGGGAGGCTTAGTATGGGCCGAACTTTATAAAAGAATAGCGACTGAGATGGATTATAATGAATTTTATTCAGAGATTTTAGCTAGTTTTAGTGTAGGCTGGCCAATAGGTCAGGAGAATTTAGAACATTCCTATACATTAGCGTTAACCCTATTAACTATAAACTAAAATATGGAATTTATCATATTTTTATAGGAGGCTAACCAGCGAATCAAAAATGTACAAGGGCATTTTGCTATAATCTTACAGGATATTACACTCACTACGACTTAAAATTAGCAATAGATCTAGGTTTTCATGTAGAATTATCCTCTGAAAGTCCTAATGCTCTAGTATTTGAGCAAAATAAACTCATGGGTGGTAAAGATATTTTCTATCAATAGGCAAGTTTTCTTACAGAAATAAAACATGAAAGCAGACAGGCAGGTAAAGTTGCCAAGCATATGCTAGTATCACTCTAGGGACGATTATACTCAGATGGACAAAGACCAGGTCCTCATCGACATATGGCACTATTTATTTCAGCAAAAGGACGTAAAATTATTTCAGAAAAAATTAGACCTTTAGGTGAGTGTGTAAAGAGAATCCATACAGATAGATATATTATTTCAGGCAAAGCTATTGATCAGATGCTTAGAATAGAATATGTAGGTATAAGGAGAGAGCAAAAAGTCGTAAAAACAGGCATTATATTGATAAAAAATGTGGTGAATTTAAGGTGGATCAACTTTAAAGAAATAGTTCCTCTAACATCAGCAAAATTGGAAAAGTCACCTATCCATTACTTATCTTTGCCAAATGAAATTATAGATAGGATTTTCCAATATTATAAAAGAAATAGGGGCGAAAAATTACATCCTCTTTTATTAGTTAATAAGCAATAGTACCATATTGCTAGTAGACTAATATGGTAAAGAACAGTCCTAATAAGCATTTCCAGAGTTAAGTTCACTAAGGCATTAAGCAAAAATACTAAGCTAATTGCATGTGAACAAGTACTAGGTCTAAAATTTATTGGAGAAATAAATATAGAGCCAGATGTGTACATTTCTGAAGTGTGTAAGACATGTTCAAATTTACAACAGCTAAGTTTTGAAAATAGTGGGTCACATATACTTAACAATATAAATTTAGAAGTGCTTCTAACTGAATGTCTCAATTTAAAAAGACTCACAATAAGAGGTTTTAGACGCTTAAGCCTGAAAATATTTTTAAAAATTCCAAAACTAGCCACTAAATTGGAAGTGATAGAAATTAGGGGATGTTTACGAATTAAAGAGGATATATTAAGCATTTTTCAAAACTTATACCCAAAAATAAAACTTATATATAAAGAGAAATAGCTTATCGAATTAGTATCAGGAAAGTTGAGATAACGAAATTTTATTTGAGGAAGTTTTTTTTCTAGTGTGATAAATATTCAGTTATAAAACACAATACTCAAAATGACATATGTAAAATGTAAAATATGGCCTTTTTCAGATGATATAATCCATCAAGAAGCGTGTTACGAAGTAATAAAGTAGGATATAGGTACTATACAGTTAAGGCTCTGATTGACACAACTTCTAGCGCAAATAAAATTAGTAAAAGCTTAGCCGATAAGCTTGGAAGACGATATGGAAAGCATTATAAAAACAAAAGAGTGAAAAACTCATTAGGCACTATAGATTGCTTAGATATATCTTTCAAATATAAAGAAAAAGTTAGACTGGTCTCTGGTAGTGATGAAGTTTTTAATGATTTTGAGGTTATTACGAAACCAGGAAAAGCGTATCTCATATTAGGAATACCATGGTTATGGATATATGAAGCAAAAATAGATATGTGAAAAAAAGGGATAATAATATATGATGATTTTGTGCCATTTTGCAAGTATCCAAAAAATAATGAATATTATATTCAGAAACAGATGAATCTGATTCATTTGAGTCTGAAGTGGAGATAGTTGCATCTGAGTGTTATTCATCTGAAGAAATAAAAGTCAAATGCTATAAACTAGCCAAGTATGATGCTAATCTTATATGCATAAAAATATTAACCAGATGCTGATCCTGCTTTTGTATAATTGGACGAGTCCAGACATAATGTTCATCTCTTGTAGAATGATTATTGCTTGATAAATAATAGGCAGTAATATTATGGTAATCGTTACATATATCACAGGAACAAGCAACTGCATATAATAATTTATTCTCAAACTTTCTCGCACATTCTCAAAATTTTATAAAGCCCCTTGATGATCTTTATATATGAATAGCATTAAATTTTTTGGCGAAATACCTTTGACTGATCACCCACTAATTTGCAACTCAGGATCGGCTAGCGAAGATCTAGGGACTTTTATATTTTGTGATAATCAACTGCAGAAGGAATATAATTATAAAAATAGTGGATGTATAGGAAGACTTAGGTAGGAAAAAAAATAAAATCAAATATATATAATTGTTGAAGTCACCCAGCCTCTTCGAACTATCAAACTACATAATTTATCATTTTCTAAAACTATTCCTCCAATAAGAATAATTCTGCATATAATAAAATCAAACTAAAACAATCTAAAACAATGTTCTCAGATATTTTTTATTCGCTGTTTTTAGTATCATAGTTATTATTTTCGAGATGATAAGCCGTGATATCCTAACTATGGATATGATCTAAAGAATTCTTTTAGGAAATACAAGTATTTACATAATCCTTGTCATCGCTATCTTCTTTTCTCGTAAATATCTAATGAGAATGCAAGATAAAAATAATAAGCTTAAAAGAATCCTCTTAACTTTAAGCATTGAGCTCTAAAGAATACATACGGAAGCTGAATGGTGAAATGATGCTTCATCTCAAGGTATAGTATATGATAGGAAAAAAAAATAACCGATATGTATAATTCTTACCTGCGTCTTACTGTGCTTATTTTTTTAGCAGGTTCTAATCGATTTTCTTCAACAAGTTACATTTCTATGGGATGATATTCTGAATATACAAATAAGTATAAAATATACTAGGTCAAGTTTACGGCTCTTTTTAATAACAGGAGGAAAAGGGAAAGACGTTTTCCAACACAACTATACAACATTTTATCAATCAAAATTAGACTTAGTGCCAGCACTTTAGCTAGTTTTTACCATTACCAAAAATTTCCAAGAACAACTTCTATGAATAAAATTAACGAATGGATTGAGAAGAAAGGAAACAAAAAAGTAGTTAGTTTTTTGAATAGTAGTAGTAGTGGTAGTAGTAATAATAGTAACACTTTCAGTAGAGGTAGTAGTGTGAAATAAAAATGGTATCGGGACTCTCATTTATGGCCTAGGATCTGAAAACTCCTTTCCTCTTAGAGTGTTTATGACTCTTTGTGCATCATTTATTTTAAACGCTATTTTCCTAGTCATTTCTTAGCCAGGCTGAAGATGCTAAAACTAAAGTATCTATCTAAAAATTTTTAATAAAGCTCTGAATATTATTTTTTAAATAATAATAATAAATTTTTGCATGCAAGATTTTTTTTGCACGTAAAATATCTGAGTATAATGTTCTATTCAGATTATAATTATATTATAGATAAGCTACCAGTAAGTATTAAAGATAGGGCATACCAAAAGCTTTTAAATCATTCACATAAACCTATTCCTCTAAATCAGATTTCAGAGAAAAATAAGCGGATAGAGGATTATTTGCACTATACATTAGAGATTTACCAGAAATCATTAGAACAGAGTTGTAAAGCTATAGATCAGAAAAAACTATGATCTTAAAGTTGGCCAAAATGCCCAGCATCTGATAATAAACCCTAAACAGAAAATAAGTCAGATGATCATAAGGCGGAAATTAATGATCGGACTAAATATGAACTTATTATTCTGCAAAAGCAACTGCTTAAATATAATAAAGAATCATTTAGTTGTTTTATACAGAATCTAACTAGGGAATATGAGAAACGAATCAAGAAAAATAACCATTTGCACTATGAAATTAATGAAATAAAGGTGCAGATGCAGGGGATAGAAAAAGCCCTTGCTATTATGAAATCATCGGTAAAAAATTAACTGATTATCCTGTATAAATACATCATGTGAAGCGTCTCTAGTTAATCCCCCTATTAATCACGAGAGATCTACAAACTGAAAGTAACGGAAAAGCGCTGGAGACTAATGAGGTACTGAAAAGGAATCAGATGTACCATAATACAAAGATGAACATGTTGTGTATATTGTCTCAGATCTAATTTAACCGAATCAAAAAGATTATAAATATGTTTTCACCCTGAAGTTAATCGAATAAAAATGAATCTAATATTTTATTATAATATACTTACTACAAATTGCTATAACAAGAAATATTCGCTAAAAACGTTATATATCACTAAAATTATTATAAGTCTTATTTATTATCTATAATCACATATAATTATCAAATATACCTGGACTAATAGTTAAAATTATTATAGATAGGATTTATTCCTTAAAGCGTAGGTATAAATTGGCTATACAACATTATAGAAAAATTATAATATTTTAATATCTAGTGATTATAAAAAGATGAAATGAAGTTTATTAAATTTGTTATATTAAGATCTATCTAATAATAGTATTTTAAAATTTTTAAAATTAATAATTATTAATATATATTAATTTTTCAATTTTTTAATTGTTTAAAATAACTTATTATCTAATAATTACAAGAAAATAAAATTTAGTTTGTTGAATTTATCTCATTAAGGCCTATTAAATGATTATATTTTATATTTTTGAGATCAATAGATAACAAAATATATGAGTTTAAAAATTTAATTTTTTTTTATAATAATTCATCATATATTTATCTTTAAAATATCACTAATTAATTACATTTTTTTTTGAATTTTTACTTAGAAAACATCATAAAATTTATTATAAAAATATTAATTTTTAAATAAATTATTTTAAAAATCTTTAAAAATATTATAAATAATTTTAATTATTAAATAAAATTGCAGGCAAATTTGCCTGCAAAACGCTTAAAGGAATAGTATCATTAATATGATATTCATGACATGAAAAAGCTTTTGATCCACTTCCTGTTCGTTCAAAAAAATGTCCTCCTTCTGTTTGAAAACATTCTGAACATATATAGCGTGCTTTTTCATTTGTATTAGCAATAACTTCTTTAACAACTCTATCATTTTTGAAACTTGAACAGACTTGAAGTCCCACACAAGGCACTTGCACATTTCGATTATTGATATTTACTAAATGTTCAGCACAATTCTTGCCACGACTAAAAAAATATTTGTTTTTATAACAAAAAAGACAACGATGTCAACAAATATAACCTTCACCTACTGATTGTAATTGTTTGGAATTTTTTTTATGTAATCTATTTTGATCAAAAGATAAATGTGCCATGCAAACACCTAAAGTATGTAGCATATTTTCAGGATTTGTTTGTTAATTACAGCTCCATCGATTTCCCATGTTCCTATTAATTGATCTTTTGTCAACTTCACATTATTCAGATTTCCACTTTCTATCAAACACTGATGATATGGACATTTACAATTAACAGAATTATACGATAGAGTTATCACAGCATTTTCTGAAAGATCTCTTAACATCACAGAAATAAATGGATAACATCATAATTCATTATTATCCGTTTAAAGATCAGAGAGCATGTCCTGGTTTTTCATAATTCGGACAACGTTTCACTTTCCCATTATATACATCTACTAAAATACATGGTATAAGGTTTTTATTTTCTATATCAGTATCATCTATTCGATAGTCTTTATCTGTATTAGAACCAGCCGTTGTTGAAACAGAATCTTTTTCAACTAAATCCATATCTTCCCACGTTATATCATCATCATTATATTCATCTAAACTAATTTTTTCTTTAGCATTTTGTAATGCTTCGTAATCAAATAAAAATTCATGAATACAATTATCATCATTGGTGGTTGTTACAGGTGTTGATGGAATTTCGCTTGTATTATCAGTTGTAATACTGTAATCATCATTTTCAAGCAACATGTAATCTTTATCAGGGTCATCGTATTCTAACTCATTGCTAATATAATCATTAAAGCAACCATTTTTCCAAAAGCCCATATTTTCATCTTCAAAAGACATGATAAAAAAATTAAAGTTTCAATGAATATCGTTTAATGTTAAAAGCAATAGCTACTTATATTGCTTGTTATAAAAGATAACTTAAAATATAACGATAAAGATTATGATATGAAATATAAGAAAGGTTACGTTAACATAAAAATTTTTTAAAAAAAAAATATATCAATATCGATAAATTGTTAACGTTAATGTTAAAGGAGAACGAAGTTATGCCTTATTCACTTTTTTACGAATGTATTTAACGTTTAAATTCACGTTCATAGTATTATAAACTAAATTAATTAAAATTGATCGTCACATCAAAATAACCTGAATTCTGGCCCATTTCTATGGTAATTGAGATTAAAATTTCTAATTTATAATGATAACGATAAAAATAAAAAAGAAAAACTCAAATAATTAGCGCAGCTAAGAATCTATATGTGAGATCCGAAAGTATTAAAGATTTCATCGTT